ACTGCCGGTACGGGTATTCCTTGTTGCCGGTGTATTGCTGAGGTATCTGGGCATGCTGAGGGTGTTGGTTGTGAGGGTGCCATCCACCGCGGGCGTGAGGCGACGCTGGCGGTCTCGAATGAGGCCCAGCCTGGGCGCCACCAGTTATGACGGCCCTGTAACGTCCCTGCATGCCCAAGCCGCGATGCTGATGACTCCCAGGGCCGTTCATTCCCTTCCCCTCGTACTGTCTCTTTTTCGAGCTTATTCTACACCCTTCCTTTCCTCTTATGTATCCCTCTTTTACCTTCTCTATTTCTTTTTCTCTCGTTCGCTCTCACGCCACCTGCGTATGTATATACATATATGTATAGAGACACTTATATATACTTCTCTCCCTCTCTCTCTCTCATTCGCTCTCTCTCTTTCTCTCTCTCTCTCGCTCTCCCTTTCCCTCCCACTCTTTTTTCCTCGTGTTATCGTTGTCGGATGACAGAGACACAGGGCGAGGTTAAGCTCACCGCGCAATTTCGCTCGGCTCGTATTTTCTCTCGGCGGTCCCTCTCTCTCTCTCTCTCTTTCTCTCAATCTATCTCTCTCTCCCTCGATCTATCTCTCTTCGTCTCTCCCTGTTTACGTGCACGCCCCACGCGAACAATCCTCCGAGGTATCGAAACCCGGCGAGATTATTCGAACGACGTTACACGAGGTTCCAGCCGAGAGCACTTGGAGACGAGGCTAGAACGATTTCAGGAGATTTCGAGTTCGCGCCCGCTCTTTCGAAACGTCGGAAGAACACATCCGAGCCGGCCGCCATATTGACCGCTGCTGCCGCCAGGGACGACGCGCGCGATTCGATCGCCCCCGGTGCCTCCGCGCCTAACCCTCGTGCACCGTTTTCACGTTAACCCCTTTGCACTCGACAGTTTTTCACCCGGGGATATTTGAATATTTTCTGCGGGGACGGAGAGGATATTTTGGAAATACTAACTCGAAGAGGTACATTCAGGGAGAACTTGGAATTTCAATGGAAATCTTGAAATAAGTCGAAGTTAATTCCAGGCGTATCGATTCTATGAAAATACCTTTCCTATTTTTACACGATCGAGCGTATGAACTATTTGGACGTTTCGAACATTTTTACCGCGACGGAGATATGCGGGAAATTTGAGAAACAACCGCAACGATGATAACGCAATTCGATCCAATACTTTGATATATTTTTTTCGTATTTCGCTTCGTGAAATCGTTCGGTATTCGACGTGTTAATATTTCTCAAACTGATACACTGTAGGAAGTATAATATTAAATATCGAATTTTATAGGTTTACTGTGTGAAATCGAGTGAGAGTCATATCTCGAGTGCAAAGGATTAATTTTTGTTTTCAGTAAACTTTCTGGTACCGAGGCGTACAATTTATATTCCAATGATTTGTAAATAGACGTTGATTGTATATCGAGCTATTGACGAATGAGTTGTGAAGCTACTGTTTACATATAAATTTGAATTGTCTGAAAATATTAAATGTAAAGATGTTAATGTTACATATGCTTGATAAACGTGTATGAATATGTACGTAAGTGAAACGAAATGTCCGTAAAACGGTTGCCGAAAATAAAGATATATTTGGGTGAGCAATTCGTCAATAAATTTTATTTCGCTTGACACCGTTCAACCCGCTATAAATCTTATGAAAGCCCGCGGTTTATA